AACCAGGAGAAACAGCCAAAATCAGCTGTTCACACAGTGTTGACAACTACAACCAAATCCTCTGGTACAAGCAATCAAAGGACAGAAAGCTACAGTTCTTGGGATACATGGTGGGAGAGTGAAACCCAGAGAAGGGAGTGAATGTGAAGATAGAAGGAAATGCAACAAGGCCAACCTGCACATTAACACTGAAGAACTCAGTCTGAACAGCAGTGCAGTTTACTTCTGTGCTGCTAGTTTACACAGTGATACATATCACTGCTCCTCAGTACAAAAACCTCCTCATCACACATTTTTTATCTCTGTATTACAGCTCACAGCCTGATGCACCTGTACTCCTTCCTCTCAGTAGATGGTGGTATATCTTTACTCAGACCTTTATACTGAGCAAGTGGTGTTTAGTTGAAGTTGACATGATGGTTATATTTAAGAGGAGGAGGACGCATTATGACACCACGCACCTAATGACTTCATGATGATTTGCTGAAAGGAGGATTTACTCAAAGAGGAAGAAATAATCACATTTCTTGATAGCTACACGATTCTGATCTGATATTCTTCAATATAACCAAATACATAGAATAGAACACAAAATGATCATCTTATACCTAAGCATCACTTTTAACATACTTCTGGTTTCAGGTAACATCAAAATAATTTCTCATTTCTTTTTCAAGCTGTCAACAAAATCTGTTAATAGATTTGCAGGTGTACAGCCAGTCTCATATGCTGCTGCTATTACAGCTGGGTTACTGGATTATTTAACATCTTATGTTATTCAGTTTTTCAAGACATCAGTGTTCATGCTCATGTTGTCTGATGCTTTGTTAATCCTCTTTCCGCAGGTTCCTCTCTCAGTGACAAGGTCCACCAGACTCCAGCTGACATGTACAAAGAAACTGGAGAAACAGCCAAAATCAGCTGTTCACACAGTGTTGACAGCTACAACCGAATCCTCTGGTACAAGCAATCAAAGGACAGACAGCTACAGTTCCTGGGATACATGTTAGCAACCAGTGGAAAACCAGAGACAGGAGTGAATGTGAAGATAGAAGGAAATGCAAACAAAGGCCAGACCTGCACATTAACAACTGAAGAACTCAGTCTGAACAGCAGTGCAGTTTACTTCTGTGCTGCTAGTTTACACAGTGATACATATCACTGCTCCTCAGTACAAAAACCTCCTCATCACACATTTTTTATCTCTGTATTACAGCTCACAGCCTGATGCACCTGTACTCCTTCTTCTCAGTAGATGGTGGTATATCTTTACTCAGACCTTTATACTGAGCCAGTGGTGTTTAGTAGTAGTTGACATGATGGTTATATGTTAAGAGGAAGAGGAGGACGCATTATGACACCGCCCACTTAATGACTTCATGTTGATTCTCTGATAGGAGGGTTTACTCAAAGAGGAGGTTGGAAATAATCAGCCCGACTGCTGATACATAGAAGAAAACATAGCGATTCATAGCAACAAGATTATGATCTGATATTCTTCAATATAACCAAACACTCAAAGAACACAAAATGATCATCTTATATCTAAGCATTACTTTTAACACACTTCTGGTTTCAGGTAATAGCATAATAATTTTTCCATTTCAAGTTTTTAACAAAATCTGTTAATAGATTTACATGTGTAAAGTCAGTCTCCTGCTATTACAGTTGCATCACTGGATTATTTAACATCTTGTGTTATTCAGTTTTTATATTCAGCAATGTTTATGCTCATGTTGTCTGATGTTTTGTTAATCCTTTTTCCACAGGTTCCTCCTTTAGTGACCAAGTCCACCAGACTCCAGCTGACATGTACAGCAAACCAGGAGAAACAGCCAAAATCAGCTGTTCACACAGTGTTGACAACTACAACCGAATCCTCTGGTACAAGCAATCAAAGGACAGACAGCTACAGTTCCTGGGATACATGGTGGGAGAGAGTGGAAACCCAGAGAAGGGAGTGAATGTGAAGATAGAAGGAAATGCAAACAAAGACCAGACCTGCACATTAACAACTGAAGAACTCAGTCTGAACAGCAGTGCAGTTTACTTCTGTGCTGCTAGTTTACACAGTGATACATATCACTGCTCCTCAGTACAAAAACCTCCTCATCACACATTTTTTTTTATCTCTGTATTACAGCTCACAGCCTGATGCACCTGTACTCCTTCCTCTCAGTAGATGGTGGTATATCTTTACTCAGACCTTTATACTGAGCAAGTGGTGTTTAGTGGTAGTTGACATGATGTGTATGTTAGGAGGAGGACACACCATGACACCACGCACCTAATGACTTCATGATGATTTGCTGAAAGGAGGATTTACTCAAAGAGGAGGGAGGAAATAATCAGCATTTCTTGATAGCTACACGATTCTGATCTGATATTCTTCAATATAACCAAATACATAGAACACAAAATGATCATCTTATACTTAAGCATCACTTTTAACATACTTCTGGTTTCAGGTAATAGCAATATGATTTTACATTTTGAATTTTCTTTTTCAAGTTGTCAACAAAATCTGTTAATGGATTTGCATGTGTACAGCCAGTCTCATATGCTGCTGCTATTACAGGGTTACTGGCTTTTTAAAAACATTTTAAGTTATTCATTTTATCACTTCAATTTCCATTCTCATGTTGTCTGATGCTTTGTTAATCCTCTTTCCACAGGTTCCTCTCTCAGTGACAAGGTCCACCAGACTCCAGCTGACATGTACAGCAAACCAGGAGAAACAGCCAAAATCAGCTGTTCACACAGTGTTGACAACTACAACCAAATCCTCTGGTACAAGCAATCAAAGGACAGAAAGCTACAGTTCCTGGGATACATGTTAGCAACCAGTGGAAAACCAGAACCAGGAGTCAATGTGAAGATAGAAGGAAATGCAAACAAAGGCCAGACCTGCACATTAACAACTGAAGAACTCAGTCTGAACAGCAGTGCAGTTTACTTCTGTGCTGCTAGTTTACACAGTGATACATATCGCTGCTCCTCAGTACAAAAACCTCATCATCACACATTTTTTTTTATCTCTGTATTACAGCTCACAGCCTGATGCACCTGTACTCCTTCCTCTCAGTAGATGGTGGTATATCTTTACTCAGACCTTTATACTGAGCCAGTGGTGTTTAGTGGTAGTTGACATGATGGTTATATTTAGGAGGAGGACGCATTATGACACCACGCACTTAATGACTTCATGTTGATTCTCTGATAGGAGGGTTTACTCAAAGAGGAGGTTGGAAATAATCAGCCTGACTGCTGATACATAGAAGAAAACATAGCGATTCATAGCAACACGATTATGATCTGATATTCTTCAATATAACCAAACACTCAAAGAACACAAAATGATCATCTTATATCTAAGCATTACTTTTAACACACTTCTGGTTTCAGGTAATAGCATAATAATTTTTCCATTTCAAGTTTTTAACAAAATCTGTTAATAGATTTACATGTGTAAAGTCAGTCTCCTGCTATTACAGTTGCATCACTGGATTATTTAACATCTTGTGTTATTCAGTTTTTATATTCAGCAATGTTTATGCTCATGTTGTCTGATGTTTTGTTAATCCTTTTTCCACAGGTTCCTCCTTTAGTGACCAAGTCCACCAGACTCCAGCTGACATTTACAAAGAAACTGGAGAAACAGCCCAAATCAGCTGTTTACACAGTATTGACAGCTACAACCAAATCCTCTGGTACAAGCAATCAAAGGACAGAAAGCTACAGTTGTTGGGATACATGGTGGGAGAGAGTGGAAACCCAGAGAAGGGAGTGAATGTGAAGATAGAAGGAAATGCAAACAAAGGCCAGACCTGCACATTAACAACTGAAGAACTCAGTCTGAACAGCAGTGCAGTTTACTTCTGTGCTGCTAGTTTACACAGTGATACATATCACTGCTCCTCAGTACAAAAACCTCATCACACATTTTTTTTTATCTCTGTATTACAGCTCACAGCCTGATGCACCTGTACTCCTTCCTCTCAGTAGATGGTGGTATATCTTTACTCAGACCTTTATACTGAGCAAGTGGTGTTTAGTGGTAGTTGACATGATGGTTATATGTTAAGAGGAGGAGGACACATTATGACACCACCTACATAATGAGTTCATGTTGATTTGCTGACAGGAGGGTTTACTCAAAGAGGAGGTTGGAAAAATCAGCATAACTGCTGATACACTGAAGAATAATGATTCATAGTAAACAAGATTATGATCTGATATTCTTCAATTTAACCAAATACATAGAATAGAACACAAAATGATCGTCTTATACCTAAGCATCACTTTTAACATACTTCTGGTTTCAGGTAATAGCAATATGATTTTACATTTTGAATTTTCTTTTTCAAGTTGTCAACAAAATCTGTTAATGGATTTGCATGTGTACAGCCAGTCTCATATGCTGCTGCTATTACAGGGTTACTGGCTTTTTAAAAACATTTTAAGTTATTCATTTTATCACTTCAATTTCCATTCTCATGTTGTCTGATGCTTTGTTAATCCTCTTTCCGCAGGTTCCTCTCTCAGTGACAAGGTCCACCAGACTCCAGCTGACATGTACAGCAAACCAGGAGAAACAGCCAAAATCAGCTGTTCACACAGTGTTGACAACTACAACCAAATCCTCTGGTACAAGCAATCAAAGGACAGAAAGCTACAGTTGTTGGGATACATATTTGTAACCAGTGGAAAACCAGAAACAGGAGTGAATGTGAAGATAGAAGGAGATGCAAACAAAGGCCAGACCTGCACATTAACAACTGAAGAACTCAGTCTGAACAGCAGTGCAGTTTACTTCTGTGCTGCTAGTTTACACAGTGATACATATCACTGCTCCTCAGTACAAAAACCTCCTCATCACACATTTTTTTTTATCTCTGTATTACAGCTCACAGCCTGATGCACCTGTACTCCTTCCTCTCAGTAGATGGTGGTATATCTTTACTCAGACCTTTATACTGAGCCAGTGGTGTTTAGTGGTAGTTGACATGATGGTTATATTTAGGAGGAGGAGGAGGACACATTATGACACCGCCCACTTAATGACTTCATGTTGATTCTCTGATAGGAGGGTTTACTCAAAGAGGAGGTTGGAAATAATCAGCCTGACTGCTGATACATAGAAGAAAACATAGCGATTCAAAGCAACAAGATTATGATCTGATATTCTTCAATATAACCAAACACTCAAAGAACACAAAATGATCATCTTATATCTAATTATTACTTTTAACACAATTCTGGTTTCAGGTAATAGCAAAATAATTTTTCCATTTCAAGTTTTTAACAAAATCTGTTAATAGATTTACATGTATACAGACAGTCTCATATGCTGCTGCTATTACAGCTGGGTTACTGGATTATTTAACAACTTATCTTATTCAGTTTTTCAAAACATCAATTTCCATTCTCATGTTGTCTGATGTTTTGTTAATCCTCTTTCCACAGGTTCCTCTCTCAGTGACAAGGTCCACCAGACTCCAGCTGACATGTACAACAAACCAGGAGAAACAGCCAAAATCAGCTGTTCACACAGTGTTGACAACTACAACCGAATCCTCTGGTACAAGCAATCAAAGGACAGAAAGCTACAGTTCTTGGGATACGTTAGAAACCAGTGGAAACCCAGAGAAGGGTGTGAATGTGAAGATAGAAGGAAATGCAAACAAAGGCCAGACCTGCACATTAACAACTGAAGAACTCAGTCTGAACAGAAGTGCAGTTTACTTCTGTGCTGCTTGGTTACACAGTGATACATATCACTGCTCCTCAGTACAAAAACCTCCTCATCACACATTTTTTATCTCTGTATTACAGCTCACAGCCTGATGCACCTGTACTCCTTCCTCTCAGTAGATGGTGGTATATCTTTACTCAGACCTTTATACTGAGCCAGTGGTGTTTAGTGGTAGTTGACATGATGGTTATATTTAAGAGGAGGAGGAGGACGCATTATGACACCGCCCACCTAAAGACTTCATGTTGATTTGCTGACAAGAAGGTTTACTCAAAGAGGAGGTTATACACAGAAGAAAACACAGTGATTCATGGCAACAACATTATGATCTGATATTCTTTAATATAACCAAAAACAGAGAAGACAAAATGATCATCTTATACCTAAGCATTACTTTTAACACACTTCTGGTTTCAGGTGACAGCAAAATAATTTTTAATTTTTTTTTTCAAGTTGTCAACAAAATCTGTTAATAGATTTGCATGTGTAAAGTCAGTCTCCTGCTATTCCAGTTGCGTTACTGGATTATTTAACTTCTTATGTTATTTAGTTTTTCAATTTACATTTTAATGTTAATGCTTTGTTAATTCTCTGTCCACAGGTTCCTCTCTCAGTGAACAAGTCCATCAGACTCCAGCTGACATGTACAAAGAAACAGGAGAAAAAGCCCAAATCAACTGTTTACACACCATTCAAAACTATAACCGAATCTACTGGTACAAACAGATAAACGGACAACTTCTTCCTCTGGGATACATGGTAATAAACAGTGGAAACCCAGAGAAGGGTGTGAATGTGAAGATGGATGGGAGCGCAGATAAAGACCAGAACTGCACATTAACAATTGAGAAACTCAGTCTGAACAGCAGTGCAGTTTACTTCTGTGCTGCTAGTTTACACAGTGATACATATCACTGCTCCTCAGTACAAAAACCTCCTCATCACACATTTCTGTATTATAGCTCAAAGCCTTTTACACCTGCAATAAGCCATTCTAACCAATATTGGTCTTTCTTGTGATTAAAATCAGAGATTATAATGGGAGGTCCTTTCTGTGGAGCATTGCTTTTCGCCTCCCACCTCCCATTATAAAAAGCAGCCTCAGACATTCAGTGTGTCTGCTGTGGTTGCATCTCACAGGATTACCAATATGACTCAAATTCTCATCACATTTATAGTCTCGTCTCTGTGGCTTCAAGGTAACAAGAACTAATTGGTGTAATAGATGTGTAGAGTTTTTTATTATAATGGAAACTGAGGCTGATGGAGACCTACATGCAGACTCAAATTCTGACTATAAGGCTGGAACAATCTTTTAGTATCAGCAGACTTAGTAGTATAATATTTTTAAATGTTTTTCACCTTTCATGTCTACATGTAATACCTAAAGCAAAACACTTTTTTTTTAATCAAAAAGAGAATACAAATTATATTAAAATCTGTATTTTCTCCACACAGTTCACTGCCAGGGAGTGACCCAAGTCCCTGAAATAAGCTGGAGTTATGTGTCTAAATCTGCAGAGATGAACTGCAGCCACAACAAAGATGCTGGTCATAACCAGATGTACTGGTACAGGCAACGCCCAGGGGAGACCATGACCCTCATTGTTTACACAGTTGCAAGTGGAAAGCCAGACTATGGGGGGTTCTCTCAAACCAAGTACTCAGCCATCAAAGAGAACATTGAGACCGGGAGTCTTACTGTGAAAGACCTGCAGCCTGAGGACAACGGTGTGTATTTTTGTGCCGTCAGCAAACACAGTGATGTGAGAAGCTGAGCAGCTGAACAAAAACTGGCTGACAATAAATTTGGTGAGTGTATTGGGAACCACACTTTGACTTTTATATCTTTCCAGTAGGTGGAGCTGGAGCACCAGAAATACTCTTCTGTTCAACACACGCACACTAAGGCATTTACTGTAGCTGGTTTGAAGAGAGCACAGAAGGAGCAGGAGGTCAACATGCAGTCAACATTATTCTTATCTTGGCTCATTGGTAATCAGTTTAATCATTCAGGAATAATCACTTCACTATATCACTATAGTTTCTACACAGTTTTTTTATTTCCTTTATTTCCTTTCTTCCTTCCAGGTGTCTGTCTGGGTGTTGAAGTCTACCAAACACCTCGAGAGCTTCTCAGAAGACCTGACGAAAAAGTCCAGCTGGTCTGCAACCATGAAAAAACTGACTACACAGTCATGCAGTGGTACCAGAAATCCCCTGGAGACAGAGCTCTAAAACGCATCGGACATGTGTATTACAGCAACATAGAACATGAGGAGGCTTTTAAAGAACATTTTACCATCATTGGAGATATGAGTGGAGAGACAGCAAAGAACGGCTCTCTGTTTATAGCTGACCTAAAGGCACCTGAGCACAGTGCGGTGTATTACTGCGCAGCTAGCTTTGCACACTGACTGCTGATCCCGTCTCCTCTATACAAAAACTCTAAACCAACTTTTATCAACATTTATGGTTTTGAATAAGAACCCGAACAGACCCCTCCCAGCCAGCTGCTCTTGATGTTCCGCCATCATCTCTGCCAGCCATTTTACATTGATGCTGTTTTGTCTTCACTTCCCTTTCCTTTTCAAACCTCATTCAGCTCAGTAGAGGCATCAGTTGGATTCCCATCGCTCACAGACAGTCAGGAGGAGGGGACAGTCAGGTTGATCTGATGACAGATCCCAGCAACATAAACCCCTAAAACTCTGTAATCTAAAGACTTTTAGTAAAGGTTTTACTGTTTAGGAAGTCAAAATGATCCGTTTTCTCTTTTTTTGTTGGCTGTCAGGTAATAACTTACACAGTTAGTTCCTATGAATGTGGAAAAGGTTTAATTTTAAATGTATCTTTATTTCCTTTTTCTCCGTCCAGGTGTTTGTCTGGGTGTTGAGGTCCGTCAGTCTCCATCTGATTGCATCACTAAACCTGGTGACAAAGTGGAGATTTTCTGCAGCCATGATAAAACTGACTACAGGGTGATGCTCTGGTACCAGCGGTCACCTGGAGACACAGCTATGAAACTCATTGGATATTTGCACTATAAAAATGCTACAATGGAGGAGCCATATAAAACATATTTCATTATATCTGGAGATTTGAGTGTAAATACAGAAAAGAAAGGCTCTCTAAAGGTCCAAGACATAGGACTTGAGCATGGTGCAGTGTATTACTGTGCAGCCAGCAAAGCACGCTGACAAAAATCCCCTCTGAACTTAACAAAAACTGCACACAATTCTTTATCATCAGTGGTTTTGAATAAGACAAGCTCCCAAGCACCTGCTTTTGTGGCTATGATTTGGTTTGATGCAATCAATCATTAACAAGTGACTGCTTCTATCTTATTGTTTTTAAATTAACAAGGCAAATAGAGAGTAACAGAGTAAAATAAGTGAAGCCACACCTTCCATTTCATTTCCTCAATGTACAGAGAATCCACTAACAGCAAAGGCTATCCTCCAGCCTTACAGAAGCTAACATGTTCTCATTCCTGCCACCAGGAGTCGCCAAGACGCATTCTCATCATTACTTAACCTAAATGCTGTAAGGTGTTGGAGGTCAAGATCAATGCTTGAAACAGTATTTGATCGATCCTGTAGGGTCTAAATAATCATAATCTGTTAAACACATCGGTGCAGATATTCAGTCAAAGTTTTATTTATATCTGACACATTGTTTGTTTGGTAGCTTACCAATAAATCTATTTTGCATTACAGTGTGTAGATTTGAACACTCAATGCAGAGCCACACGTCACAGAAACATTATTCTTTACTCAGCGGGAGAGCTCCTCCCACCAAACTGCATTTACTCACCTTTGCCAACTACTTTACAGTGACAGCGTTTCTTCATCACTTCCCTTTCCTTTTTAAACCTCAGTTATTTCGGTATAGTCCTTAGTTGATCCTTATCATGAATAGTGACAATAAGTGTGATCTGATGTCAGATTCCAGAAATTGACATCCACAACTTTGTCACAAAGTTTTGTCATCTAAAGACTTACAAATGTTGACAAAAGACAAAATGATCTGCCTTGTAGTTTTCTGCTGCCTGTCAGGTAATAACTTGAAGAAAACATGAACTTTGAACTGCTCCTTTGAATGTGAAAATGTTTTCATTTTAATATATCTTTCTATCACAATGTAAATAATGTCTCCATTTTCTCCGTCCAGGTGTTTGTCTGGGTCTTGAGGTCCGGCAGTCTGCCTCTGATCTCATCACAAAGCCTGGTGACAAAGTGCAGATTTTCTGCAGCCATGATAAAACTGACTACAGGGTGATGCTCTGGTACCAGCGATCACCTGGAGACACGGCTATGAAACTCATTGGATATTTGTACTACCAAGCTGTCACAATGGAAGAGCCATATAAAAAGGATTTCAATATCACTGGAGATTTGGGTGGAGATGCAGCAAAGAACGGCTCACTTATTTTGCAGCTCTCTGGATTTGAATACAGTGCTGTTTACTACTGTGCAGCCAGCTATGCACGGTGACGGTTCTTTTTTCTCCTTCATACAAAAACTATTCTAACCTTTATCAACATGTATGGCTTTGAATTAGAACATGAACAGGCCCCTCCCAGGCAGCTGCTCTCGGTTTGATGCTATTGTGTTCGCCAGCCCATATACAGGAATAGTGTTATTAAAAGACTTCCCTTTCCTTTTTAAAACCTCAGTTAGCTCAGTAGAGGCATCATCTTATTGAGGAAGTAAACATGATCTGCTTTCTATTTTTCTGTTGCCTAGCAGGTAACTTGTTCAAACCCAATTAGTTTCTATGAATGTGGAAGTGGTTTCATTTTAAATTAATGGGCTCTTTATTTTCTTTCTCTGTTTAGGTGTTTGTCTGGGTCTTGAGGTCCGCCAGTCTGCCTCTGATCTGATCATAAAACCTGGTGACAATGTGCAGATTTTCTGCAGCCATGAAAAAACTGACTACAGGATGATGCTCTGGTACCAGCAATCATCTGGAGACACAGCTATGAAACTCATTGGATATTTGTACTTTCAAGATGTCAAAATGGAAAAGTTATATGAAACAACTTTTAATATATCTGGAGATTTGGGGGGGAATACAGCAAAGAATGCCTCTCTTATAGTCAAACATGTACAACAAGAGCACAGTGCTGTTTACTACTGTGCAGCAAGAGAAGCACGCTGACAAAGAATCCCTTCTAACTTCACAAAAACTCTACACGATCTTTCCTCATCAGCGGTTTTGAATAAAGACATGAAATAAACTGCTCCCAGACACCTGCTTTTGTGGTTGTGTTTTGGTGTGATGCCATCATATGATCATTAGCTAATGCAACTGTTTTATTGGTTTATTCTAATTAAACCAGACAAGCACAACTTCTCCTAAAATACAGTATAAAAAACATCTCAAAAGCAAAGTATTTGTGTGAGAATCAGGTTTAAGGTAGAGCATAATAATGCAACTACATGAAGCCACTCCTCCTTTCTACATCACACTTACTTCCTATTTAAGAGTGACTCAACATAGTGAGAAAGCACTACAGCAGACACCCTGTCATCAGTTAACTTATACTGCCTTTTTCCATGCCTTTGCAGTAACTCATTGCTCCATGTCAGATCTCTACATGATGATTAGACTTCTCTTTTGCCATTTCCTCACAGGTAAAAACGGCCTCACTGTGAAATAAGATGTACTGCATTTATCTTCACATCAAATTTATCTGTCACCAATAATGTGTCCATCTCTGCTTACAGCAGGTATTTCTCTGGGGGTTCAGGTCCGTCAATCTCCCACTGCTGTAATCAGAAAGGCTGGTGGTAAAGTGCAGCTTTTCTGCACCCATGGACAAAGCGACTACAGAGTGATGCTGTGGTACCAGCGGCCACATGGGGATAAAGCTCTGAAACTTGTTGGATATGGATATGCAAACTTCGGAAATGACAGCGTTGAAAAGCCGTTTAGAGAACATTTCAAATTAGCAGGGGATTTGAATGCAAACCAAAAAAATGGTTCACTTTCCATAATCAATCTAAAAGCACTTGAACACACTGCAACGTACTTCTGTGCAGCTAGTAAGCCACAGTATATCAAACACCCACCTGCTCTTGACAAAAACCTCCTCCCCCTGTCTGAAAATGGGTTAAAGAGTAAATTATCCTCCAATGAGCCTTGCGGTTTGACAGATTTTTTGACAACTTATCATTTTGATCATTCACTTCACTTCCCTTTCCTGCTTTAGACATAAACAGCTCAAAGCCAAGGTCTTAAAAGCTCCAAGTCACTAGGTGATATGGCTTCCCCTTACTTCTCTAGAGGAATATCACTCAATAAAAGTAAAGTTTCCAGTGAACCTGAGTATCGGGAAACGACAATAAATCTAAATAGAACATGACAAAAGCAACAGCGGCAGGTCCGAGCTAATGTAGCGTTAGCTGGCTGCCCTGCCTTGCATCACTAGGATAGTAAACAAATCGTTCCACATTTGCTTTTTACCATTACATCCTTTCTTGCAGGCTAAATCAACACTTTGACATAATAGTTGTGGTACACAGGATAGTAATATGAGTCACGTTAGTTGGAAAAGTAATGTGGTATACAAGCGACTTTGCACCGGATAACTATGACAACTGCTTGGCTGGCTAATGTGACTCTCCGTGTTTCTCCAGCCTTTCTGATGTTCACTGCTTTCACCAGACATCATCTGATGGGCTAACCTCAAACCTTTATCGTTGTTTTGTTTCATTACTTGAAGTTTATGTTGTCTGTGTTGTGCTGGGAGCCGGTTGTTTTTGTGGTGTTAGTGTCAGAGAGGCTCTGGAGCGAGCTCAGGCCTGTATCCCGACCTGGTGTCCTCACATTATTGCAAGCAACAGAGAAAACAGGCGTGTGCTTCATTTCAAAGAGAGGTTTGAGTCCACTGACAAAAAGGAAATCAAAATTTGATCTATTAATTGAAAAACTACATATAGCCCGTTTAAATTATTGAAAACGTGTATCAAGGTCATTACAATGAGTGAGTGGTGAAGAAAGAGAAACGCCACCCTTCATATTATAGAACTGACACACCCTAAAGTCAGCAGGCAGTATTTCTGTGCCCCTCCTTCTGATCCACAAAAACAGCAGAGACTCTAGTTGGTTCTTCACATTTAACATGATGCCATCTCGTTTTATCATTTGCCTCATCACCGTCTTCTGCTTGAAAGGTATTGTAAATTCATGAAGCCATTTTTTCTATTCAATGTGGAATTAACTCTCCAAGTACTAGTGAAGGAGTCAAGGTGTAATATATTATATTGTGTTCAAATCATAATACACAGTGATTTAATTGGGTTTCTATAACTTTGTAATTTATAAAATAGAGCTAAGAACTGCTAAACATTATGTCTTGATCTCTTTACAGGAGTTTATCTCAGTAAAGAAAAACAAGTGTCTCAGACTCCACGTGAAATGCTGGTGAAACCAAATGCAGAAGTCAACCTGAGCTGCACACATGGAATCTCCAGCTATGACACTATTCTCTGGTATCAGCGTTCACCAGGAGACACTTCCCTGAAGCTGATTGGCTATGTGTATTATGCAACTCCTAAAGTTGAGTCGGCATTTCAAAACCATTTTAATGTGAGTGGAAACGGAGCGAAAACCGCTTATCTTCACATCCTGAACCTGAGCCCCTCTGAAGACACGGGAGAATATTTTGGAGCAGCAAGTATGCACAGCAATAAAGACTTCGTATCCTCTCATACAAAAACCTCCATAATAATCCAACAGATAACAGCACACAACAGGAAACCACTGAAACCATGTGACATAATATCAAAACTAATTCATTACTGTTGGATAACATAATAATACACTGTGAACATTATAGAGATGTTTGAGAAAAGGAGTATATAGTATATTTTGTAAAATATATATTTTTTATTACTACAATGCACGAGCAGCTGGCCTCTGTTAACATGCAGACCAATTTTGTCTTCAGTGGTCCAAGAGAAAGTCACTTATTCTTAAGTCCAGTCCTCTACATGTCACCTGGATCTGGTCCCCGCAATCCTAGAGTAAGCATGCTATCATTTCCCTGAAAAGCTTCATTATCAACTCCTCTCTCTCCACTGGTACAGCCCCCCCGAAAGTTGCCATAATTACCAAAAACAGTAATAAGCAATAAACATATTCACTGACTTCAACTCATCCAGAACTCTGCAACAAGGGTGTTACGACCCCGCTCGTTAAGGTAAGGCAGAAACAAGTGATTTGGGATTGAAATGAAGGGGGCAAAAGGACAACTGAATCCTGGTTAAAGTCAAAGGTTTAATTAAATGAGTTGACTCAACGAAACAACAACAAAAAGAGGCTATATAGGTGCTGACAACAAAAAGGAGAAACAAAAGAGGGAGGTCAGCACCTATATGTTTTACAATAATGCAAAGTAAACAAACAAGCAATGCACAAACAAAAGAGCACCCAACACTTGGTGCACTATCACACTATGTGATTTACAAAGGGTCAAACTGACTGAAGCCACTTAGACAGGCAACAGACAGAAACAGGAAATACAAACACTCTAGATATTCACTACCTAACAGACGTACGCAACCAACAACAAGGCGAACTGATCACTGGCTCAGTCGCTGAAATGTGGGCACACAACCTATTTGTAGTCCAGCGGTGTTGATTGGAGAGTCCTGGTTGGCAGGGTCGGTTGAGTCACAGCCACACCAATCACAGACGACGCCAGAGAACAGCAACCAGGAAGTAGGCGGTCCCAGCTCCAGAGGAACCAATCCTCAACAGGGACTCACACAGCTGGGATTTGCATGACAGCCAGAAGCACTCAGGAACACAATTACTTTAAGGCAGCCAGCGGTGGCCATAACAAGGGTCATCACATGCTCAAAGCCCACAGAAAATGTCCCTCCCCAGCTCATTCAATTACACTGGCTCCCTGTGTTACAACAGACCTCCTTCAGATGTACACTCCTTCTCACCCCAGTGTTCTTCATCAACAAGTCTAATGGCATTACCAGCCATCAACGTCAGCACAATGGGGGCCAAGGCCTTCTTCCATGCTGCACCCAAACCCTCTTCCCCCTCAAATTCACATACATTACAGAATTCAAAACTGCTCTTAAAACCAGTCTTTTTAAACTACAGTACAGATGTTTTATTACTGATGATTTGTTGTTTATTGTAGGTTTTTATAACAGATTTAATATAAGATACAATGTGACTTACAATTTAAAATATAATAACTCCTCACAGTAATAGATCAAAACTATGTTTTGCTGTTCAACTCTCTCTATAGATAAAAATCACAGTTTACTTATTTTATAACAGATTCCTTCACCTGACTTAGACAACTGTCTGATCATTGTTGTATGAATCAGAATCAAACCACTGAACAGCAGAGAGCAGTGATAACACATCGGCACGAAGATGATTGTGAGCTCCTCCTTCCTCATCATAAATGCACAATAAAGGACAATTTCAGACCGATGTATTTTCATAAATGCCTTTGCACATATCTGTTTAAGTCAAAGCTACGATTTGAGCTGCCACAGAGATTTTCTCTATCTAGCAAAAAGAACATTTAAAATGTTTATCATTTTGTTTTTTTCTCTTTCATTGCTCACAGGTAAGACTCACAACATGTGTTAATTCTCATGACACCAATAGCCTTTCTGTTTACCTTCTTTTTGTTCTCTAGACATTGCATTATCATCGCTCATGATACAACAAACTCCTGAAAAACCTCTGATAAAGCATGAAAAAGAAGAAGCCAGTCTTGGCTGTTACCATGGAGACAACAACTATCCCTACATGCTTTGGTACCAGCACAAGTCAGCAGCAGGAGGCCAAAGGGCCATGGAGCTGATCGGACTGCTTCATTATGAAAAACCAAACCTTGAGACGAACTTTGAAGCACGTTTCAACATAACGGGCCATTCAAAGGGCCGAGCTCAGCTGGTTATCTCCAACATAAACCCAACAGACAGTGCAGAGTACTTCTGTGCAGCGAGGTA